CACATACACAGAGCTGCGTGTAAAGAAAATGAAGCAGCAGGGATGATCCGCACCTGGTTCTTGTAGACTAGCTGCAGCCTCCCTGCACACCATGTAGAAGGAAACGGCTGTTAGTCGTCACATCCTGGCTTTGGCTCTGTTTATTTACCAATCATGATGAAACTACCATTCTTTAGCTGATTGGAGGTTTCACGCTGGACTCAAATTCAGCAGATATGCAAAGGCGCTGTTAACTTATCTGGTCATTACAAAAACAGCAGCTGTGCCTAGATTTGATCACACCCTGCAGACACTGACTCTGAAGATACACGGCTCATTTTGCCAAGAATGCCACTGTACTACTGGATCAAATATATGCACAAGATCCCAGTCCTGCAGCTTAATACATGTAGAGATTCCATTAGCATTAGTGAAACTTTGTGTCTGCACAGGAGATGCAGACTTGTGCTCTCAGCCAATGTCTGACTCCCTATCAGAGTCCTGATGTCTGTGTAGAAAGGCAGGAAGGGAATTATCAAAACTGGGTCCAATGCAGCAACCTAAATTACCTTCAGTTGAAGGGCTTTAGAATGGAAAAAGAAAAAAATAATTCAAAGGGGTGGCAAAAATCAGAGGCTGCTCATAAAGGTGCTGAATGGAGGTCCAAGGGAAATACAGGACCAATTTCACACCAAGGGATTATTTATCTACATTAGAAGAATCTCTGCCATTACATAGCTAGGCTGGCAGAGTCCCCTTCTGGAGGCACAGCATGTGTCAATGGGAGCTTTTCTGCCAACATAGCTACTACAACATCATTTCCACAAACCGCACTAACTAACCAAACAAAATGCTCTTTTTGTCAGTAGAGCTGCATTTAACCAGTAGTTCTGCTGGCATAGTAACATCTGCTAGGGTGTGTTATTCCTTACAGACATTTTTTCAGGTGCCTAGGTACGTAAGGTAGACCTGGTCTAAATAAAAGGCACTAAGTTGTAAAGTCAGCACACCAACACAGACTTTAATCCTACAGGTGAACTCTAGGAAATGTACCCCTGTTGTTCAGACAAATCCTCCTTTATATCTTCTTCCTCTTCTCTCACTGTCTCTTCTCCTTCCTCCCTTTCATTTCTCTCACTCTCCATTCTTTCTTCTCCACTTCTCTCCACCTCATTACATTCTTGTCCATTTTTCTCATCAGTCTCTTTTTCTTGTCCATTTCTCTCATTCTCGTCTTCCTCTTTTTCATTTCTCTCATTCTCTTCTTTCTCTGGTTCATTTCTCTCATTCTCGTTTTTCTCTCTTTCATTTTTCTCATTCTCTTTCTCTCTTTCATTTTTCTCATTCTCATCTTTCTCTCTTTCATTTCTCTCATTCTCTTTCTCTCTTTCATTTTTCTCATTCTCGTCTTTCTCTCTTTCATTTCTCTCATTCTTGTCTTTCTCTTTTTCATTTCTCTCATTCTCTTGTTCTCTTTCCTCTTGTTTGTCATTCTCTTGCTCCATGTTATGTCTGCTCTTTATCTTCTCAAAGAAATATTCGCTTACGTAGCCAAAATCTGGGGAGAAAAGAAGGGTTTGCTTTTAAACAAAGCAGAAGAGTTTCCACATGCAGAGCACTAGCAGAGAATGGAGCTGTACTTTCTGGCTTCAGGTTGCATTTTAATAGGAGAAGAGGGATAGGGGCAGCAGAACTGTGCTCCACCCACCCCTCCTTTCCTCTTATTTTTTTGTCTCAAGAGGTGAAATTTGTTGCTGGTGCGAGAAGTTAAGCTGCATGATAGATATTAATGAAAAACTGGGAGCTGGCAAGTTGCAGCCCTCTGAAATTCACTGGCCATGCAAAAAGAAATGAATTCCAGGTGTCCATCTGGGGCTTGAGAAAGCAGGTGAGAATGCTGGAAAAAGAAGCATTGTAGTTTCAAGTGCAGTGCTTCCTTTGGCCTTACTTGGATAATTCAGGTATTTGGGGGGGGGGGGGGTTACTACCCAAAAGGGTTTAACAGAAGACTGTATGATAGCCTTGCTTAAATGGGAAGCCTACTGTGCAATAAGCAAGGGTATGGTCTAAAAGAGCAGTGGCTATTCAGTGCTATGGATGCCCTTGATTCACAGATTCATAGATATTAGGGTTGGAAGGGACCTCAGTAGGTCATCGAGTCCAACCCCCTGCCCTGGGCAGAAAGTGCTGGGGTCAGATGACCTCCGCTAGGTGCTTGTTCAGTCTCCTCCTGAAGACCCCCAAAGTAGGGGAGAGCACCACCTCCCTTGGAAGCCCAGTTTGGTGTGCACAAACTGGACGCATCTACATATGCAATTAATGCGAAGCAATAAACTCCAGGATTTATTGCCTGGCTCCCCAGCATGTTGAGCTGGGTTGGAGCAGCCCCAGCTGGCAGGGGACCCTAGGGGTCAGCCTGCCAGCCCAGGGCTGCTCTGACCCTGTTCAACATATTGCACAGGGGCTGGCTGGGCATGAGTGTGCTGCAGTGCGGGGCTAGCCGGATCTATCACATTTGCATTTTGTACATTATTGATCTATGTTTTGGGAATAAATATAGACTGCATGCTTTAAATCCACCATGTATAACATATATAGCATGTAAAAAGGGTTCCATTTTGTAACATTTCAACATACAGTGTAGTCTACTGAAGTGCATACCTGATAACCATATCATTTGTTTAACTGTATAGCACAATGGAAGTCCCAGTGTATTGCCTAATACTTGTGTTGTAACAAATTCCAGTATTCTCCTATCTGGTATAAGTATAGACTGTTTCAGTGTAAAGTATCTTTCAATCCTCCTATTTACTTTGCAATTTATCTATACTTATAACTGTCTACCTTGTTACTAATTGTATTCCCTTTTAACTGTGGCAAAAGCAGTAAAAGGGAAGTAGCTAAGGACAGCTATTAGAAACTTTATAATGATGAGAAGAACCACAGGCAGCTATGGGATTTTGTAAAGGGATGTGTGGAGCAGTGACTGGTGCTGCAAGGGTGGCTGCACCCACCACTCCCAGCCTCCCTCTCCCCTGCCCTTGCACCAGGAAGAGCAGACTGTGCCATGGAAGCAACAGCTGGGAACTTTGAAAAGACACCAGATCAAGTAAGTTTATACCCCACCTCCTCCCCTCTCCTCTGTGCTCATTCCTTCTCATTCTCACCCTCAGCTAGGGACAGCAGCAGTGGTGGGTGAGCTGCCCTACCCTGTGCCTGTGCCTACACCTGCGCCTGCTCATGGGTTAGCAAGGAACACTTGGGGAGACTAGGCAGGGAGGGAGGACCCACCAGCTCCTGCCACTGCTGTCCCTGGCTAAGCCTGGCTCCCTGTGCAGCCCAGCTGGAGTGGGGCAGGAGGGGCTCTGGACTTTCCCTTGTCCCTGAGTCAGCCAGGGACAGTGGCAGAGGCACGTAGGGGAGGTGTGGAATTGGATGGGACAGAAAGGTCATGGGGGCTGGGATGGAAGTCTTACCTTCTTCAGAACTTAAAAATGGTCCCCAGCTTCTGGTCCTGCCACATAATTTGAAAGGACAGGTGCAACCACATTGCCACACTCCCTCTGGATCCACCCCAGTGGGGGCTAGTCTGTTTCCTGGCTCTCCTGTCCTCTCATTTTTGGGACTCCTAATAGCAGCCCTAACAGTGACATTTAGAAACCATGAAAATGAGAGGACCTGAGAGTGCTGTGTATATAAGGAGCACTGACTATTTAGATTAAATGTGGGTCAAGGCATAGCTGTTTTTAGTCCCAATTCTATGTACTCAAACAGATGTAAACTTTTAATGATCCATTTTTGGCACATTACCTGTAGTTAGGTATATGCTCTTCTCACAAGGGGGTCATGGTGATTCTCTGTACTCTGTGAAGCCCATCCCCAACTGCTATTCTTGTGTCTTACAGCTGTGCCTCTCATGTCATTTGCTTTCCCCACAAAAATCCCTCTCATCAGTGCTCCTGTATACCCCTCACCCTCATTCCTGCCTGCCCTTAAACCAGTTTAACTATGTTCTGTGGCATTCCGTTTATTTTACACCATAAGAGTGAAGGGAGGGTCAGGCCCAGCGTCAGCTTCCATGTGGTCCCTGTTGGGGTACATACCAAGAATCTCAGGACAGATTCTCTTTGCCATCACACTTATAGAGAAGCTTGTCATCTGAAAGGAGCCAGTGCTTGAAATAAGCTACCTGTCCTTAAGGGACTCTGTGACAGAGAAACTTTGGAAATGCTGCCACCTACAGTGCAAACTTGATACCGTACTTAAATAGATAAGCCACGGGAATTCATTTGCTAAGCTCTCTTCTGGCACAGCCTCTGCTCTTTCAGGGTTTCAGCAGAGGTAGCCAAGAAACTAACTAGCTCAAGATAATTTTTAAACTGAGTTTCCCTTCACTATGAAATTGTAATCCCTTTAGAGATCCCTTCACTTACACATGCAGGGAAAGGGACAAGATGCCATGTTTTCTTATCTGTAAATTTTAAAATTTAACAAAATCTAATCAAACTAGGAATGATATTTGTGGGTCATTCTACCAACATTTCAGTGCATGTTGGCTGCTCTGGCATTGACATGTCAAGCTGCTGCTTCTCCCCAGGGAATGTAGATGCTTAGGTGATGATGGGAAACTAGATATAAATTACTTAAGCAGATTTCTTTCTTCTCTGTTCAACGGCCATGCCTGCATATCTCCCACTTGCACACATTTATACATTCATGTTTTGCTGGAACTTAGTAGGCCCATCTGTGGAATTTAGCCTGTAGAGCAGGGGTGGGCAATTATTTGGGCCTGAGGGCCACATAGGTAGTTTTGATGTACTGTCGCAGGGTCAGCACCCCCTCCCCCCAACAACTCACCAAAACTCCTGTGGGGCTTTGGGTGGGTGGGGACAGTGTTCAGGAGCAGGACAGCCCTGCCCCATGGGGGAGGAGAGTCATGGGGAATGTATAGGGATGTGTAGAGGGGGCATATGTGTGGGGAGGGCTGCCTGGGACCCACCTGGGGGTGAGGGGAGGCAGGAAGCGCATGCAGCTGAACTCACCCAGTAGAAGGCACCCCCTGCAGCACTCTGCATTGGGCCAAGCCCTGCCCAGGGCAGCCTGTGTCATGCTCCTGCCCATACTCACCAGCCCAGGCCCTGGCCAGCACACAGCTTCTAGCAGGGCTGTTCCCAGTATGGCTGCAGCCAGCCAGGTTAGCATTGTCACTGGGAGGTGAAGGGAGCAAAGCAGCACCCAGCCGACTGCAGCTGCACTGGGAACAGCCCCACCAGAAGCTGTGCGCACTGGCTGGGGCCTGCACTGGTGGAGCTGTCCTCCTTCCCTCACCTCCAACTGTGGCTGTGGCTGCTGCTGCTGCTGTGCTACTCCAGGTGGACAGGGGTGGGGGGGAAGCTTCAGCCAGGTGGCTCCTGCTTAGCATGTGGAGCTCTGGTTCCAGGTCCCGCCTGCCTTACACCTGCTCTGCCCACCCACAGGTGGCTGCTCATCACTCCAGGCAGGCAGAGCAGGTGGAAGGCAGCTGGGAGCTAAAGCTGAAGTTCCACCCACTGGACAGGAGCTTCCCCCACAACCACCTGGGGCAGTGTGGTACAGCAGGAGCAGCAGCTGCAGGTGAGGGGAGCAGAACAGCCCTGCCAGCCTGGGCTGCAGCCAGCATGCGCAGGTTCCGGTGGGGCTATTCCCAGTGCGACTGCAACCAGCCAGGTCCTGTTCTGCTGCCCCCACATGCAGCAGCAGATCCTCCTGCTTCTGCCCCTGCTGCGCCACTCCGGGTGGGTGGACAGGTGGGAAGCTTCAGCTGAATGGCTCCTGCTGGAGGTGAGGGGAGCAGAGTAGCACCCAACTGGCTACAGTTGTACCGGGAACAGCCCCACCAAAAGCTGTGCGCCGGGGCCTGGGCCTGGGCTGATGGGCACAGATGGGAGTGTGGTGTAGGCTTCCCCAGTAGGACTGGGTGAAGCTCAGCTCCATGTGGGGCAGCGTGGGCTGGATCCGGCCGGCGGGCCATATTTTGCCCACCCCTGCTCTATAGCTATTTTTGGTTTTGGAAAATGTCTTTTGTTTGGAAATATGCAGTATCACCTTGTAACCATCAGAACCAATCCTCAGCAAATCAGCAAAGCGCCACTGAAGCTAGAGGCACACTGATTTACATCAGCTGGAACTCTGACCTTCAGTGATGAAAAACAAAGCCATGAGTTGTAACCCAGTTAACAGTTTCACATGTGAAACCGTTTCTGCAGAGGTTTTTAAGACCTGGCTAGACAAAATCTTGGCTGGGATGATATAGTTGGGGATGGTCCTGCTTTGAACCAGGGGTTGGACTAGATGACCTCCTGAGGTCCCTTCCAAGCCTCATTTTCTGTGATTCTGTGACACTTTTAGAGCAGGTGAAAATATACACCATAGCAGTGTCCACTGTCCAGCTGCCTCTTTGTACCAACAGAGGAATTCTGTCTTTATGGCACAAATTTCTAGATCCTGTTCATCTGGGCTTTTCCACTGTGAATAGCACTGCATCACTGATGAAAAATGCATACTTATTTTCCTACTACAGGAAAAAATTAGAGGGATCCTGTGTTGGGTCCTGAGCAGGCCAGGACTGCAAGCAGTGCAGGAGCAAGGCCATGGCAGACTCTGGACTCATTAGCATCACTGGGGATGGACAATCTGCCAAGTGTCCTATAAGGAAAATGAGGTAGAAAAGAAAGGGAAAGGCAGAATTTTCTAAACTTTAGAAGATTATAGTTGAACCAACCAATACCTTTGAAAGAATCTCTTCTCTCCTTTTCTATTGTCAGTGCTTCAATGAAGTCTTTGTTTGCATCATCTAGAGCCTAAAGGTGACAAAGATCCTTAGTAACAAACCAAGACATGCAGGTGTAGGACAGGCCTGTTTAAAAGCGTGTCCCATTTCCCACTGCTGTTCTCTCAGCCACTACTACTTGCTCCTTTGGTGCTTGTAAAGCTACTCTTCCTCCCTGATACTGATTGCACTATTCTTTGGGTTACTTCAGCAAAAATACCCCTTCAGTTGGGATCACCCCTCCCACCTTTTCTCCCTCATATACAGTTAGTGCTGTTTTTACCACTGTAACCAGCTAGTGAGCTGGGTTCTGTCTGTGTTTAGGATCTCTAAACAGGCACAAGTTTGTGTTGCAGATGCACTGCCCCAATACAGACCTGAGTGATCTGCTCCCATAAGATTATAAGTAAACCACCTAAATCAGTGACCACAGGCTGCCATGGTTTGTAGGTCACACTTCTGGCCCAAAGGCTCCGCCTGTGATGTTCCTCCATAGCTCCTGTCATGACAATCATGCCCAGTTGCCTCTCCCACAAAAAGATAGGCTAGACCAGGGGTGGCCTACTTGGCCCTGCGCTTTATCTGTTAGCAGTGAGATTTTTGGCATGCACCTCAATGCAACAGAAGCCGTAATTTTACCCTGTGGATTAAATCCTGGTTACAATGAAGCTAAATTAATTTTCCCATTGATTCCAGTAAGCTTAACATTATATCCCAGGCTTTTGCTACAATGGTACGTGGTTTTCCAATACAGAAGGTTTTGTGCTTTTGTTTTGCCAACTGCTTTGCAGGAGCTATTTCCTTCCATAATCCCCTACCTGCCAAGTGACAGCCTCTCTTATCTTTATCATCTGGAATAGGCACCACACTCTGAGAACAGGTGTAGGTAAGTTATTGACTTGGCCCCTAAACCCCTGTCCTGTAACCAGATCGCTTATAATCAGAGATGGATCCAAGGGGGTGCACTAGTGCACCTGCACCCCTACTTTGATTCCTGCTCTACCCAAAGTTTAGAACTACCGACCTGGCAGTGGCAGCAGTATTTCTAGTCAGGCAGTGCTGAGGGAGTCAACTGACTTCATGGTTTGTTATAATCTCCCTTCTAAACTCTTCATTCCACAGGTGTTAACAACCTTCTCTTTTTAATCGGTTTTGATGTTCCACCAATTAAGCTATCTTTTGTTTTGCAATTCTACTATCTGTTAGCTGCTCCTGGTCATGAAGCTCTTAATTCACAACCCTGCCAATTATTTTTAACTCATTCCAATTGTTACATTTGTTTTTGCTTCAATATTAAACTGCATAATATAGTTTAGGCCCATAGCATATTAGAAAAGTGTCTAGTTTATTTTTAACTGGAGAAAAATGTGTGTTGCTTTATATATGATGACGCACCAGACCATCTGCACCCCACTTTTCAAAATTATAGATTCGCCCACGCTTACAATGATGATGGCCTGCTGAGCTGCATCATTATGAACGAGCTTTGCCTTCTCAAGAGCTTTTTCAAAGTTCATAACCGCAGACTGGTAATCTTCAAGTTTCACTGGAATAAACAAACATCCATTTTAATTCTGGACCAAAAATAAGAGAAGTATCCTATGAAACAACTAAGGCCATCATGAAAAGATTTACTCTAAATGACATGCCACAGGCTTATTTTCATTGTTTTCTAACCAAAAGGGTGTTTTCATTAGGCTGCTTATTGGCCAGGTTGTTTGTGAGCTCAAAGGCAAAATTCAGTGGCTTTACCTTGTGCTTGTGCAACCAGCACGCTAGCATTGAGCTGCCATTCAACATCGCCTTCCTCCTCTGCTGACTGCAAGGATTTTTCACCATACTCCAGGGCTTCTGTTGCTTGATTTAGCTCCAGGTAACACCGGCCAATTTCATGGAATAACCACGTCTTTTCCAGGCTGGTTTTTGCCATTGGGATCTTTTCCTCCCATCTTCGCATAGGAAAATAAGTTATTTATATTGCTCTCACCTGGATTCAGTTATGCTACATATGTCTGGATATTTTTAAACTTCCTCAGGGGCATTGGGTGTTGGCTACAGCCAATGCTGGGGATTTTGACTCAGGTGCATCAGTGCTCCTGCTGGGATTTAAACCCGAGATTCCTGGCTACAGGGTCTTGTCTCTCCACTCAGGGTCAGATTGTTTACCATATTTGGGGTTAGGAAGGAATTTAACTCCATGGTCATATGCGTAAGGACGGGGGAAGGGGTGTTGCCTTCCTCTGTAGTGGGAAACATAGCCCCCTACCTAGGATCTCCTGAGTGTATATTAACAACATTTTATAGAAGCAGGATGTTGTCTGCTGTGGTTCCCATGCTTTATCTATGGCAGGTTAGGGTGTTATGTCTTGTGTTGCGTCAGGGCTGATGGCAATTTTAAGAAGAGTTTAGGTTATGGATTGTATAGGATGGTTTGGATAGGGATGATCCTGCTTCAGGCAGCGGGCTGGACTAGATGACCTCTGGAGGTCCTTTCCAGCCCTGCTTCTCGATGATTCTATGATATTGGAACTTGTTCTTTTCTTTTTTTAAAGAGAGGGCCTCAGGTGCTATTACTGGAAGTATGTTATACTGAGACCTATTACATGTTTAGAAAGAGAACATTTAAGAAAGTCTGGCATGGGGACTGCTGTTGGGTTACAAAGCCTGTGCTAGTAGTTTGAGTCAAGGTAGGATCAATATTTGCAATTATTGAAGTTATGGAACTGAATAACTGAAATTATTGTCATCTGACAGCTGTTTGGTGGCCTGCATAAAATGATCTCTGAGTCTCAGTCCAGTTTCTAGTGGTAGATACATGTCAAAACTGGCATTAGCAATCCTCCTTGTTGCCCATGTAACTGAATACATTAATGTGGCCACATCTATTTCATGTTAAATGTTTTCATGCCTTTTATGTTCTGCATTTTACATACGTGTCAATGGCCTCCTGGAATTTGCCGATTCTGGCATAAACTCTGCCAATGTTGTCAAGGGCTCTGGATATGGCATCTGGCAGATCACTGTATTGAAGGGAGAGAAAGAAGGCTTAAAATAGTCTTGTTCCTAAAATGACCTGCCTTTTCTCCAGCCTTGTGTATTTTCTTTAATGGTCGCTTTCAGTGCAGCTCACAAAACAGAGTGAGTTTCTTGAGACAGTATTAAAGGAACACTGGACATGTCTACACATTCATTTGATCTGAGATTAGTTTACTTGCAAGTAAAATACTTGCAAGTAAATGCTCCTGGGCAGGTGTCTACACATGCAGGGACATGAAAGCAGAGTTGCTGCTTCTAGCAGCAAACTGCTCCTACTTCTGGTAGCCCTGCAAAGGGCCCCTGCCACCACAAGGGGGAGCTCTAGGCTTCCCCTGGTTGCTAGCCCAGGGGCTGGCAGGGACCACGGGGCCAGGAGACAGCTAGCTGCCCCAGTGGCAGATCAGGGCAAGAGTCTAAGACGTGCCCCTCCCCTGCAGCTCTTTCCAAGCCCTGTGCCTTGATCGCTGGATCAGGGCACAGGTCTGGGACCTGCCCCTGACTGAGACAGTTCCCAGCCCCTGCTCCACAATCACGGGATGGGGGCTGGAGAGTCTGTTCTCTGCTGAGTGCAGAGCTGGGCAGGGAACAGGTTGGGGAGCTTGTTCCCTGATCAGCTCTGCAAGCGCAGGGCTGGGTGGGAAACAGGCTCCCCAGCCCCTGCCAGCAGAGAGTCCCCAGCACCAGCTCTGTGACTGTGGGGCTGGTACTGGGAGATCCTTATCTCCCACAGATAGAGCTTCACCATGGTGGGGCTCAGGTTGGGAGATCCTTATCTCTGCTGTCACAGAGATGGCGCTGGGAGATAAGGATCTCTTGGCCCCCCACTCTCTGATCACGATTGTGAAGTGGGGGCTGGACGATAAGGGATCTCTCAGTCCCCGCTCCCTGATTGTGATCTCAGAACAGGAGGTTTGGTTGACCGGGAACAGGGGGCTTGCTGCTGGTGGTTGGCTGACTGGGAACAGATTTGCTCCTGGTCAGACATCTACATGAGTGCTACTGCACAGCAACTGCTTGCAAGTAATTAGCATGATTAGCAAGGTTTACTGCACAGTAAACATGTGCATGTGTAGGTGCACATGCTTATTGTGCAGTAAACTACACTACTTCACAGTAAAGCATCTCCCGTAGACATGCCCACTGTCTTGTTTGGAGTGACACAGCAGAAGTGTTAGGTTCAATGGAAAGAGCACAAGATTGTTAGTCTGGTTCAACTGGGAACCTCTTGCTACAGATGAGAAGGTTGTGTTTCTGACTTTAGTCCACTATCAGGGCTAACCCCCTTGATTAACAATGTATAAAAAGAAGGGCTATCACTGTTTTTGGTGGCTGTTCAAGGATAGAGTAAAAACCCAGGTAACTGTTTTACTGAATTGAAAAGCAGAGTCTCAGGGTTCTTGCTAGGGACATTCAATAATGGGCTCTGCTGCCCAGCGTTCTGTGTGAGCTTTTGTTCAGTGTTAATGGCCACACAGTTTATAATAGTAAAGCCCAAAGAGCAGGGACTTTGTATAAATGTTAATATGTGAGTGCTCACTCCCCTCATCAAATGTGGGCCAGGTTTTCTGTTATAACTGAGGAAACAGGCAGAGAAATGTATTATTCGGGCAGCAAAAGTGACTAACAGAACCACATCTGCAACTCCTGTCCTGAGCTTTGACCAGTAGAGGGATATCAGATTTATCCACAGAACCACTAGAGGGCACGTCTCCCCCTTATATCACCAGAAGAGATCAAACAAATTAGCCTCCCTTCAGGCCACCACTTCACTTTGACAAGGGCTTTGCAAAACTAGGTTATGAAAAGGGTGAAATAAAGCCGCTCTCTTCTGCCTGAGACAGCCCACAGGACATTTTCTGCATGAGTGACTGCCTGTGTCCTGTTGAATAGTTCCAGCTTGACATCAGGACTGAAAAGGAAATGATTTCTCAAGAAGTCCCCTCCTAGACTCCTAGAGGACCTACACTGAAATCAGATCATCACATTCTCTCAGGAGGAAGCATGGTCTAGAGCAGAGGTTCCCAAACTTTTTCTTATTGTGAACCCCCTTCCAGATTTACCAGCTGCCCACATACACTTACCAGCATATGTTTTATATTTTAACCCCTTACGTGCCAATTATTATTATTATTATTATGAAAATTAAATCCATCATTAGTTTTTCTCATATGCCCCCCAGAGATGTCTCGCTGTACCCCCAGGGGTATGGGTACCACAGCTTGGGAACTCCTAGTCTATAGGTTAGAGTGTGGGAGTGGGAATCAAGGAGTATGTGATCTTGGCCAGGCCACTTAAAATTCCTTGCTCAACCTCTGCATGGTGATGAGGATAAATCAGAGGGGTCTATGAGTAATGACTGCTTGTTGTGCCTCTTGTGTTTCCTAGGTAATAAGTGCTACAGAATTTTGAAGCATCACTCTGGACTGGTTTGTGTTCCTCTCCAGTCAGCCTATAAGCTAAATCCTCTGAACAAAGGTTTGTTCTACATTGTGCATCCTTTCTGCACACAACCCCCACCTGAACACTCACTTTTCCTTTGCAATCTCCAAATCCATCTTATGGCTCTGAAGTGCTGCCCCCATTTGTCCCATATCTATCTGAGCATTCCCAATGCAGCTGTAGAGGTTTCCAATCAGTTCGTTCTTGTTGGGAACTTCGACATCAGCCCAACCTTTAATTGTTTTTAGCACATGTTCTGCTTTCTTACAGCTTCCTTCAGGGCAGCCACTGGTCAACACTAAGGGAAAAGAAGAAGGAATGCTACGTACCAACTCATGGGCACAGCCGTATTAGGAAAGACACAACCTGATTCCCACTGTCATGTAGCTTAAAGAGATATTTACACTTGTACAAAATGGCTGCAAAATACCAACAAAATGTGAGTGCAAGAAGGATTCTGATTTGGCTGCATTCTGCACTGTGGGGCCCCACAGTCAGCTAAATTGCCAAAATCTAATCTATACTGGGGGGGGAGAGAGGTTGAATGTGTCATGGATTCTTGGCCTCCAAAATGAGTGCCAGATGCAACCACTAAAAGGCATCTCATACAAGTCAGTCCATTGCACTGTACCATATCTAGGCTTGGCAGAATTCAATTTTTATTTTTTAATAACTTTGATGGATGATATTGTTGTTTCTTTTGAAGCATTCATTTTGACTTTTATAGATTTAAATCTTTCAGGATTGTGTAAAATTAAGGGTATGGAGGACAGACAATTTATTAATGGCAAGCGTAACTACTGTAGGACTGCTGCCAGCTGAGTGGCAGAGCTGCCATCAGTCCCAGCTCTACTTGCCCATAGCTCCCTCATCTACTTTGTCACTTCCTCTTTCTTTATTCCCAGTCCCCTGGGGTTTCTGGGTGTTGCAGTCCAAACTGCAGTCAGCAGAGTTCTGTAGGATTGCTCCCCCCCTGTTGTCAAACATTCCATCAGCCATCATTTTTCTTACATCCCCCTTCAATTATTAACAATTAAAATATTTTTTCCTCGGTCTGTGAATGTGAGGTGAAATTAACATTTATCAATATTTACCGATAAAAAATGAATCCTACCAAGTGCACATAATTCTGTTACCTATCCCCACCTGGGACCAGGCTGGGGGCTTCAGACTGGCACTCCATATTGTGTGGCTCTGTCATCTGCATTAGCTGAGGGAAATGCTGTTGCAGCTGAAAGTAACTGAACCTCAGTGTTGATGGCTGAAGTTTTCATGAGTTATAAAGTATATGGTACAGATGCACTGAACAGAAATGGCTTAGATAGTCTCTGCTCCCTTCCAAATCACTGCTGTACAGATTATTCATATCTGCCTAATATTAGTTTTCCTAATAATGGAGAGAATGACCTTGCTCAATAACACAGCTTTGAATATCCCTGGCTTGCTAGAGGCATTTGCTAAGCATGGAACATTTTGCCTGTATAGAACTAGTATCTAAAACACTACTTTGTAAAGCACTGCAAGTATAGAGAAGCTAGAAAAAGCAAATGCTTTCAGTCCTGTACCTCAAATACTGCCTTGGGAAAGGCAAGAAACAGCAGAACAAATACTTTAAAAAACTCTTGCTACTGTTAGTTAATGGCAATCCCAGAATGCACCTGTTCCTACTGACTGGGTCAACTGTTCACAGTGAACAATATACCGCAATCATAATGCTTTTGCCTCTTCCACCTGGGACACCTACACATGTCAATATCCTCCATGCTCTTCACAATGTATCTGGCAACCTCAGATGGTTTGCGCTTTTTGTCTCGGATCCACCTCTGCTGCCTGAGCTTGCGGTCTCTCACCCGGGCATAGATGGGCTTCTGCTGCTGCCAGAACTCAGTCCGGGTGTCCAGGTACTTAATGCCTCCCAAAATTAGATCCTCCACTGTCATCCCCTGCTTTGTGTTGCTTCTGATCAAGTCTAGAAATTAATGAAAGGCAGACCCAGGAAAAAGGATTAATGTTTGTGAAGAGTTAAGGCACAATCTAATGTGGGAGGCTGAAGAGGCAGGTTGTTTGTGAATATTTTTAGTGCTGGTGCCAAAATGCAACAGCTCTTGAGACTGAAGTCCCCTAATAATCCCAGAACAGACACAGCATTGGGACTAGCCCCTGCCAATGGGCTTCAATGATGACTTGGAGGCAGCACTTCTCTGGCCTAGGGGAGTCTGACATGCTGACTTCAATATTTTTACTTAATCCAGATACCTGAATTAGCAGGCTTAAGGCTACTGCAAATCCTATAATTTAGTGCTGATCAATCTATCCAGTCACATGGGCCAGATGAGTGGGGTACAGAGCTGGTTTGCAGGCCAGATCCCTTTGTGCAGGGTTGGTCCACGGGCCTCATCCATTATGGGGTGGGTCTGTGAGTGTGATCCAGCATGCTGATCTGGCCCCACTCACCAGATCCAGCCAGGGAGTGACCCCACATGCTGGCCCAACCCAACACACTGAATTTGGCTGTGGCCTGACCCTACATGCCACTGTAGTCCTCCACAGTACTCCCCACAGAGAAGTATGTGCCCCCCACAGAGCAGAAGTACATATCCAGGCACCTAGGGCAGCTGGTAGATGACTAGAGGTGCACCAATTATATCAAGTGCCTATCGGATCAGCACCAATAAAAGGGAAATTTACATCATCGGCTATCGGCTTTTTTTGGCCATTGTAACTGATAATGCTTACCAATACCTCGACACCTGGGTTCCCTTTCCCCTGTGAGGTGGGGGCCCCTGGATACCTGGATTCCCTCGGAAAATGGTGGATTTCCCTTTGCAGGCAAGCGGTAGGACCGTGCGAGGCTCTGAACACTGCTTTGGATCTGGAGAAGCTTCGGACGCTTTGGTGTCTGAAGCAGCATGTCTGGATCGAAGCGCTGGCCTTGTTAGGCTTTCCAAAGCAGCTTTTCGGAGCTTCTGAAGCGCTTCAGAAAAGCTTCAGAGCCACTTCAAAGATCCGGCCATAGGGTATAATGGGGAATCAATGAAATATCTATAACTTTGTTGTTTTTTGTCTGATGTGGATGAAATTTCCCCGGGTGGTAGCCTCTGCTGAGAGCATGAAGCCTGCCAAGTTTCAAGAAGATCAGTGCAGGGGTTTGGGGGGAACTGCACCCCAAATTCTTGAAAGCAAAACTCATGTCACATTGTGGCCGGAGCAGGGGCTACCATCCCTGCCGCCTTCACCCTGCTGTGCCTTAACACACAGTGTTACCCATGTTATGAGTTTTGCTTGTCCACAGCTTGAGGTGCAGTTTCCCACAAACCCCTGCACTTATCTCCTTGAAACCTGGCAGGCTTCGTGGCCTGAGCAGGGGCCACCACCCCTGCAGTTTTCAGCCCGCTGTGCCTTAACACACACAGGGTCACCTATGTCATGAGTTCTGCCTGTCAGTAGCTTGAGGTGCAGTTCCCCCCAGACCCCTACACTGATCTTCTTGAAACTTGGCATGCTTTGTGGCCTCACCAGAGGCTACCACCCTTGCAGTTTTCACCTCCCTGTGGTGTAACATACGTGTGACATGAGTTTTGCTTTCAAGAATTTGGGGTACAGTTCCCCCCAAACCCCTGCACCAATCTCCTTGAAACTTGGCAGGCTCCATGCTCTCAGCAGTGGCTACCACCCCTGCAAATTTCATCCAAATTAGACAAAAAACAACAAAGTTATAGATATTGAATTGATTCCCCATTATACCCTATGGCCAGATCTCCAAGGCAGCTCTGAAGCTTCGGAGCCACTTTGGCCGGATCGAAGCAGAAACCCGGTCTGGAACTCTGTATTGGATCCCTTGCATCCGAAGCAGCCAGATCCAAAGCCAGATCAAATAGCTACCTACTCGCACAAGCCTAGCAGGCAGCATTCTAGCCTGCAAGAAGTCCTGCTTGGGGCTGTCAGGAGCAAGACACAGGGGACACCATGTGCATGTATGCAGCTGAATGTATGCAAATGGTCAGGAGTACAGCTAGGCAGCGTGTAAAGCAGCTCCCTGCAGGTAAGTCTATGGAGGTAAAGGGACATGGGGGAGGGAAAGAGCATCGCGGAGGAAGATCAAGGCCTCCACAGTGAGGAAAGGACTGGAGTTGGGGGTGCTGCCCAGCCAGTGCAGTGCATGGGACCCGGGGCCAGGGAGAGGAGTAGGACACACCCATGGGCAGCTCATTCACAGGCACGGGGAGGTGCACTCCCCACCACTGTGTGGACCTCCCGGGGTGGCATGGGGGGGGCATGTGACCCCCTAGATTGTGCACGGGGCAGGTGTGGGCTATCTGCTGTGGGCTTGCAGCTCTGCTCTGCTGCTTTTGCCCCAGGAGACCCATGCTGGCAATGCGCCCCCTGCCTACCCAGCAGTAGTGGGGATGGCGAGTTGTGCCTCCTGCTGCCAGGCAGGCAGGGGACATGGGGCCACTGTGGGGGCCCTGGAGCAAAGACAGCAAGGCGGAGAGCCCCAAGCCCACAGTGGGCAGCCCGCATCTGCCCCATGCACAAATCAGGGGGGGTATGCCCTCCCATGCCTCTCTCGGGGGGTGGCGGGTGCACACAGCAGCAGGGAGAAGCCCCTATCCCTCCTGGACAAACCACCCATGGCTCTGTCCCACCCCCAGCCCTGCAATTTTAACCAGAGTAAATTGGTTATTGGATCAACATTGGCCAATATGATTGGTTAATAATCGGCTATTGGTATTGGCCTAGAAAATCAGTGCACCCCTACAGGTGACATGGCTTCATGAGCTGGGTCCAGCCCACAGGCTGTAGTTTGAGCACTTGAGCTAAAGCTTTGTGAACTGTGAAATGCCCTCTCCTGGTCATCTGAATAACAGCGAAAAGCAGGGGTCAGGAACCTATGGCCCACAGGCCAAAGAGACTTTATCTAAAGCCTGGATAACAGCAGGGGAAAATTGGCAGCAACATTTAGTGGTAAGGGGAATCTGCAAGAACCAGGTGACAAGCCTTAGATGGAGCTCTAGTAATTCAGCCCTCCACTGCTAAAAGATTGCCAACCCCCACACAAAGGATAAAAATGGACTTGATTTAAGAGAAACAACCTGTGGCATCTAGTTAAATACAATGGAGAAAGACCTTCATCTTTGAGCAGCTTCTCTAGATAGGCCTTGTCCGCATACAGCTCTCCAAGGAGCTGCCGTTCAGCCTTTATGTTCCTAACAGGCTCCTGTTTATTCAGCCGCTTTTGATCCTTTCTTGCAAGGTTGACTGGAAGTTTTTGTTTCATTTTCTTGCTCTGCAAACAAACAAAACTAAAGTAAGCTCAAGGGCACATAGGGAATAGGGTGATGTCTGCAGAGAAGCTTAGCTTTAAGAATTCTGTCTCATCTACCTCATCACAACACCTTTTAAGGATGCTGAATTTCTTATTCAGGAAAAAAAAATGACATGGGCACAAGAACAGCCCCTTAATAGTGAGGTCAAGATTCCTGAGTACAAATATGCTCACTCACTCACGCCTTTGCAATGTCCTTGATGGCCTCCATTGGAATAAGGTATTTTTTAAAACCAGCAGCTACATCAATCTGGCCACTGAATATATTAGCCTGTTCTTCTTTTAGCATCACCGAATCATCACAGAATATTAGCTTTGAGTAGCTCTAGTTAGCTTCCCTGGAAAGTTGTTCATACTGTACCTCTGCCTGCCTGCTTAAAAAGCAGAGGTCCCCTTTATTCTCCAGTTTAACTGAGGAAGGACCTGCAGATATAGAAAACAGAGTTGTGAGCATTCAAGAATTGCCTCACTGAAGCCCTAAAGATTAAAATAGAAATAAATAAGCTAAAGCAATAATCCAGTATTGCAAACAATGCTGAACAAGTATTATTGCATTTGAAATGTGTGGGAAGTTCTGTATCCTCCTCCTTAGCTTAAAGACAGGGACTGCATCTCAGGGAAACAGCTCACCTGCCTTTATTATTAGTATGCATATTTGTTTGCTTGCAGTAGCTACAAGTCCCAGTCATGGACGAGGACCACATTGTGCCAGGTGCTATACAAATATGGAACAAACAGATGTTTTTTGTCCCACTGAGCTTAAAGTGTAGATGTAACATGAGTGGCAACGGGGAAATTCAACAAAACAGATGGAAGGAAACACCAAACTGAGTCACAAGGGGATCCATCCGCTCATAAATTTCTTAATCACATCCATCTACATCAGGGCAGAACTGCATGTCATCTCAGCTTATCTGTCCATATGCTGCCAACAAATGCAAAATGTGGAAGGGCTTTCTATTATTCTGTCTGAGTCAGAAAAAAAAGGGAGATTCAAAGATTGTTCTCAGAGCATTTCCTGAAGTAAGAGAATGAACAGGACTACTAGGCTAGTTGGGTGATTGTGGAGGGGATTTAACATTCATTTAAATAATAGTTACCTCCTGAAAAGGAGAAATACAATCAGTGAAGATCAGTCTCACAGGCTGCTTACAAAAGTTAAAAAAAAAAACAACCCAAAACTGCTCTTCCAGAAGGATCACATTGTTCAACCTGGCTCCACAGCTTTTGTATAGATCAGGCACTTCAGCAGGGCTTTCTGGTGCTTTTATCTAAAGCTAATTCAATCAGCTATTAGATAGAAGTGCCAAAAAGGCCCACTAAAGCACCCAATCTATGCAGATATTGGGTAAGCTGGGTCCAACTAACACAGTGCCTCTTCTGGGCATGAGCTGGGCTTGGCACATGAGTCCACCAAGTTTAAAGCATCTTTTTGTTTTCTTTTTCACATCTGTAAGCAGTCAGAGTGTCTAGCTCTTCAACCCTCACATGGTAGTGTCTGCATGCCTCCTAAGCATATCAAAATATAGATACATTAACAGCAACATGCCCCTTGGGTTTCCCCACCCACCCCCTCCAGACTGGAG